CCCCCCCTGACCACCCGGGGTTTACCCCTCAAATGGCACCTCCCCACGTTTCGAGGCAAAGGGGTAAACCCAGCAATAGATTTAATAATGCATTTGATTATTTTTTGGTGGGCATGGAAATTGTATTTCTGGCCGCTACTTGGGGTTTGCACCCCTGGCCTGGCCTTGGCAGATTACTGGAGTCATCTACTTGGGGTTTATCCCCCTTGGCCTGGGGTTTACCCCCCTAGCCTTGCTTTGGGTTTACCCTTTTGATTGGGCTAAGCCTGGGGTTTACCCCCTGACCACACGGGGATTACCCCCCAAGGTGGCTCCCCCCCACGTTTCGAGGCAATTGGGTAAACCCAGCAATAGATTTAATAATGCATTTGACTATTTTTTGGCGGGCGTGGAAATTGGATTGGCCTCTACTTGGGGTTTACCCCCCTGGCCTAGCCTTGGCAGACTACTGGAGTCATCTACTTGGGGTTTACCTCCCTTGGCCTGGGGTTACCCCCCTCTGGTTCAGCCCTTTTTTGTCCCCCGTGACCCTTAGTCAGGTGCTTGCTTGTTTTTTTTGACCCTGGTGACCTTTAGTGAGGTGCTTGCCGGGTTGAAAGCTTTTAAAAGCAGTCCTGTGCTACGAGAAGGCTTTTAAAGGCAATCCTGTGCTACGGGTGCTCCGAGCGGCCTTTTAAAGGCCAGTCTGTGCTACGGGCAGCCGGCCGTGGGGCCCACCCCCCAGGATTTGCCGCGAACCGGGCCGATTTCATTGAAATTGTGTTAAAAGTTAGATCCCTTGGCCTGGGATTTACCCCCCTAGCCTTGCTTTGGGTTTACCCCTGTGACTGGGCTAAGCCTGGGGTTTACCGCGGAAAAGCCCATCACATGGAAAAGTACAAGTTTGAAAACAGCGTGAGCCGTTTAAGAGTGACGTCCAATTACCGTAGGACATGCCGGGCCTTGTACAGGCATACCTCCCAGGCCGTTTAAGGGTTACACCCGGTTACCATATATGGTTATAGAGCGTTTTTTGCCACAGCGCTATCCTCCGGTAATTGGATGCCACTCTTAAACCGCTCACGACGCCTTCATTTTGGATCTTACCTCTGGGCGCGGTAATTCGACGTCACTCTTAAACCGCTTGCAAAGTGCCTATACCCAGGGCCCACCGCCACTGTGGTAATTTGACGTCACTCTTAAACCGCCTGGGAGGTGCATCATATCTGACCCTGAACTACCCTCCGGTAATTGGATGCCACTCTTAAACCACTCACGACGTCTTCATTTTGGATCTGACCCCTGGGTGCGGTAATTCGACGTCACTCTTAAACCGCTTGCAAAGTGGCTATACCCAGGGTCCACCGCCACTGCGGTAATTTGATGTCATTCTTAAACCGCGCGAAAAGAATGTCCATGTAGAACCCCCTTGTCGTAAAGACTAAGGAAAAGACGGCTATGGAAAGGACAGGGACAATGACATCCTTTAGTAAAATTTACATTTTGACATTTGCAAACCTTCCACGCGGTTTAAGAGTGACATCATTTGCAAACCTTCCACGCGGTTTAAGAGTGACATCAAATTACCACAGCGGCGGTGGGCCCTGGCTATGGCCACTTTGCAAGCGGTTTAAGAGTGACGTCGAATTACCGCACCCAGGGGTCAAATCTCGGAAAACCTCAAAGTGAAGACTCCGTGAGCGGTTTAAGAGTGACATCCAATTACCGTAGGGTAGCGCGCGGGCAGAGATGATAGACCTCCCACGCGGTTTAAGAGTGACGCCCGATTACCTTATATAATAAGTTATAGCTTTTAAGTGAAACGCACCCACTGCCAATTAATATTGATTTCATCCCCTGGTCGTAAAGACTAAGGAAAAGACTGCTATGGAAAGGACAAGGGCAATGACATCTTTAGTAAACTTGATATTTTGACATTTGCAAACCTTCCACGCGGTTTAAGAGTGACATCATTTGCAAACCTTCCACGCGGTTTAAGAGTGACATCAAATTACCACAGCGGCGGTGGGCCCTGGCTATGGCCACTTTGCAAGCGGTTTAAGAGTGACGTCGAATTACCGCACCCAGGGGTCAAATCTCGGAAAACCTCAAAGTGAAGACTCCGTGAGCGGTTTAAGAGTGACATCCAATTACCGTAGGGTAGCGCGCGGGCAGAGATGATAGACCTCCCACGCGGTTTAAGAGTGACGCCCGATTACCTTATATAATAAGTTACAGCTTTTAAGTGAAACACACCCACTGGAAATTAATATTGATGTCATCTCCACTTAAAAGCTGTACGCCAAACACAAAGAACCTATAGCAGTTTGATCTTTTGCTTTGATTTGCAATCCAAATGCATAGAACTGTGCATGTCAGAGGCCCACAACAGAGAAACATAAGGTCACCAGAAACAAAGACGACAAAAGATTAAAGAAAAGACGGAAAAGGAAAGGACAGGAAGCCTGACCCTTGGACAATTACATTCTTTATTAAAATCTACAAACCGACATTTGCAACCCTTAAATTACCACACTGGCGGTGGGCCGTGGGTATGGCCACTTTGCAAGCGATTTAAGAGTGACGTCGAATTACCGCGCCCAGGGGTAGAATCTTGGAAAACACTAAAAGGAAGACTCCGTGAGCGGCTTAAGAGTGACATCCAATTACCACAGGGCAGCGCCGGGGCAGAAATGATACGCCGCCCACGCGATTTAAGAGTGACGGCCGGTTACCTTATATGATAAATTGCGGCTTTGAAGTGAAAGAGCCCCACTGGAATTCAATATTGGTTTCATCTAACACTTAAAAGCTGGACACTTAACACAAAAAACTTTTGGCAGTCTGATTTGTTGATTCGATTTGCAATCCAAATGCGTAGAGGTTTGCATGTCAAAGGCCCACAACATAGAAGCGTAAGATCACCAGAAACAAGAGATAACAGGCAATAGGGAAGCAAATGGAGGTCGAAAGCCACAAGAAACCAAAGAAAACCTATTGCAGGAAACCACAAAGACAGATTAACAAACACGAGAACATGAGAACAAGTGCGAATATTGCAAATACAGAAAGCAAAAAACAAATTGGATGAGAGATAGAGGGCCGCAAAGTCGAAGAGCGCGGAGAATCACACTATATAGTGTGTAGGAGTCTTGCGTTGAAAGAGCTCCACTGGGATCGTCGAGAACCACATACCCCACAAAGATATAATCACAAAGGGAATCAACAAAGGCCATGAGAAAGGTGAGCCGCGCGAAGAGAAGCACACAATAAAGGTGCAAGCGAAAAGACTAAAAACGGGCACGTGGATCGACGAACCGAAGCCGGCGATTTCGATGACAGAGGTTTCGACCTTTTGTTGATGGCAACTTGGAATTCTTGTGTGTATAATTGACGGGCGCGCTTTGGCAGTTAGTTGCAGTTTCAAGCAGAAACTTTGCGATCGTGGCCTTGAGTTTGTCGCGTTCAGGCCGCAGCTCGATGGACACAGATGTAAAATCCATCAGCAAAATCTTCAGCTCAAGTGTTTTGACCTTACGGTTTCAATTCGACCAGCCATGCCGCGCAAGTGTGCTGGAACGACCGCAGGGGAACCTTGCCAGTTCTCAAAGGTCGGCGGCCCAACGCAACCGAAACACGGACAGAGTCGGTGCGTCTGGTGTGATCCTCAGGCCATGCAGCAAGCTTGCGGCACCGAAGGTGGCTTATTGCGGCTGGCACAGCTTCTTCGTGGTATGCCAGAGGGGTCTCGCAACTTGGCACTCCGCCGGATACCCGAGGATGTGCACGAGGAGCACTTTGAGGCCGAGTTCGGCGCGCAGTTCAAGGGTTCTTGCCCCGTTGATGACACGGAGGAATCAGATGCAAACATGGACCCCGAGGCCTACGTTGACGGCTTGCCTGAAGAAGCTGGACTCGAGGCTGATATCGGCGAGTTCATCCAAGCTGATGGCCTGCCAGAATCTGTTCACTATGGGGGCAATGAAGATGCTGATATCAATCATGTCAAGGATGACATGGCCGAGGTCGATGCCACCATGGATCTGGGAGAGGAGCTTCCCGCTTATGAGCCGGAGCCTTTCAAAGCTTTGCTGCAAGAAGAAAAAGAAGAAGAGGAAGCAGACGACGAAGCATCATGTGAGCAGCTGGAGGAACCTGAGCTTAAGAAGCGCCCAGCTGCAAATTCAAAGGCAAAGGCTGCCGATCGACAAGTGCAGAAAAAGCCGGCAGCACGAAGGCCTTATCCCAATGAGCTCTGTCCAGGCAGGCGTGGTCAGCCATGTATCTTCTCAACATCTGCTGCCGGGATTCCAGCCGGCATCCATCCAAAACGTGGGCAGAAACATTGCATGTTCTGCGACCCGGCAGAATTGAGAAAGGCAATGTCTTCGAAGCGGCCCAAGGTGCTTCCGACCTGGAAGACGCTTTCCGACGAAGCGAAAAAGTTGGCGCTGACTCGGATGGCGCGCTGGGAGGGCGAAGAAAAGACTCAAGAATTCAAAGTCAAAGCACAGAAGGTGCGCACAATGTGTGCTCAGCAGGATTGGAAGCAGCTGCTCGAAGCTCGGCAAATGTTGCGAGCACCTTTGGATGAAGAAGAGCTGAGCCAATATGAGAGATCTGTGCAGCAGGATCGCCAAAGGGCGAGGAGGAAGGTCCTATGCCCAGAGCACAAAGGCAAACACAGCGCCCGCAAGCAGACCGAAAAGGAGCTAGCGGAGATCCGCGCGCGGTGTGGCGAGATTGCGGATGTTGCGGAGAACGACTGCGGCCTGCCTGCCCCAGAGGACCCCACCGCTCGCATGGTTGAGGCTTGGTGTAAACGAGGCTCTTGGGCCATGTGCGAGACTTGCCACTCGCTGCAGCCGCAGAACCTTGAGCCCATGGATCTCAAGCGGGTGAAGAAAGCTACTATCTCTTCCAAGCAGTGCACGGCGTGCAAGCACCAGGAGTACGTTCCAACTTTGGCGGATGTCCCGGGGGCTCTGCGGAATCTAGCGCCCGGGGTCCTGCAAGCTCTGCGGCCGCTGGATATCAACACAGGCAAGGTTGTCGAAGAAAACAAACTCGTTGCTTAAAACAAGATGGGGTTATGTAGCAGAGTGAGCGAATCCCGGGGCTCAACGAAATGAAAGTCGGTTCGTCTTGCTTTCTGAGGCCCGGCGGTTCGTGCAGACTATGGCTATCGAGTTCACATGAGCATGATGACCTTTGCGTGGTCGCCCAGAAGCGTGGAGAGCAAGATTAAAAAGCTCCAGAAAGCCGATCGGCGTGTGGCTCGAGCGGCCCTGAATCATCTTCTGAGTTGCCAAGATAGCGACTACGGCACCTTCTATGACAAGCATTTGGAGTTCCTGCAGAGGCACGGCAGAGATGCTGACGAGAAGTTGCGGAAGAGGCCACTACGCTTCATCGAGCAAGAAGGTTGCTTGGATCCAATCAATCTACACAAAAAACACGGTACAGCACTTTTGTTTAAATGTTCTTTCTAAAAGAATATGCGGAGCTCCCTTTCTTGTCTTCAGTCTTTTCTGCGACAATAAGGTCTGGAGTGCGCGCTGTGGCCCCGTCTCTACTGGCACCGCAACCTTTGTGAAACGGTGGCCCGGGCCTCGCATGAGAGTCGACAGACTCGGAAGCGCAAGGCCAAGCGCCAGACTGTGGATTCGAGCAGTCGTGATGAGGAGGGAAGCTCGGAATCCGCCGCCGCTCCAAACAGGCCCGGGGCAGAAATCCAAGAGAGCAAGTTGGGCCGGATCAAACGGGGCTTCCTTCGAAAAGTTCTTTCTCCTGTCATCGGCTACGGCATGGACTATGACCTGCTGCACTTCGTCTACGATTTGAGCATGTGGACCACGGTGGGCACGAAGAAGAACATTGCTCGGCAAACGGATGTCCCGCTGCGAGTGGTGCTGAGCAGCTGCCCGTGGACTCCGCAATATTGGCGTATCCGCCACTTAGCTGTGATTGACATGCAGCGCCAATGTGGCAACGCTGCCTTGTTTCGCACCCGTGCACCCTACGAGATGACCTTTCTGTACCACGAGTGGGTGATGCACGAGCAAAGAACAGCGGGTCGTGCTCGAATGCATTTGGCTGGAGCAGAGACCCTGCATCAAGCTCATGTCTTGCTGGAATTGGACAAAGGCTTCATGTCAGGCGCCCGAGGAGAAAAAGGTCGAGCCGATCGAGTGTGGCAGGATCACCTGCTGGGCCCAATGCCGCCGAAGAATGTGCAGACGGTGTTGAGTCGCGTGACCCGGCTGGAGTTTCAAGATGGGAAAAGAAAGAGCGCCACAAAGTCCTATCATGGCAGAGGAACCACCCACAGTCATTCTCTGGACTTCCTTCAAAACATCAAGGACATTGGTTTGGAGAAGAAGCTGTCTGCGCACTTGCCAAACAAGAAGCGGCATCCACTCTTGCATGGTCTCGTCATGGATGGGCAAAGAGACCGCACCAGTTCCAAGCTGCCTGTCCGATCGCGCTCATCAAAGTGGGATGACAAAACTGGGAAGGTGCTCCTGAAGCACACTGAAGAAGATCAGGACTTGCACCTGCGGGCCTACTTTCCCACAACGATGGAAGTCACCAAATGCCATGAAGACGTCCAGCAGCCGGATGGCAATGGAGCAGTGCTCCGCTACGTCGCCACCTACTCGCTCAAGTTCAGCGACTCCATGGACAAGGAGTGGCTCAACGAGCAGGCTTCGGACTACAGTGTGGCCCGGCGGGTGCTCTTCAGTTATCACCCCCTAGAGCCGGAGATGTGGCTGACACTGGCACAAGAAAGGTTTCCACAGGTGGACTACCAGGGCACGCTTGTCAACCTTTTTGTGCCGCTGCCGGACGTCGAAGACGACAGCAAGCCCAAGCTCTTGCAGAACTACGAGGACGCGGTCTGGCGTCGGGACAACATGCCTCTCATTGAGTTCTTGCCGAAGAGCAACGAGTCCGGCGACATCTTGCGGCACATCAAAGAGAAGCATTTCCAGCATGCGGCCAAGATGGTGGAGGAAGCCATGCTTGAGGCGGAGGTGCCCCCAACAGAAGCTGCCAAGCAGAGTGTAGAACTCATCCGCAGCTACAAGCGGCGCGCCAAAGCGGAAGCGAACTTCGGCACCTTGGCGGAATTCGTGGAGGCCGAATGGGATGTCTGGCTCCCGGAGATTGAAGAGTATGCAAACGCTTACAAATGCCAAGCCGAAAAGATGATTGCGGCCAGCATGTACAGCATGCTCAACGACCGCTACTACGGACAATGGCTGGTGTTGAACAAACCCTTTGTTAGATTGAGAGATTTGATGGACGAGTTCGGTGGTCATGCCGACCGAGTGCCACCCCACTATCGCTACTTTGCAATGGCCTTGAAAGCGGATCCCGGCTTTTGGAAGAACGACGAAAAGATCCGAGAGCAGATGGAGCTCGAGGCATACAATCGAGCCATGGTGGACACCATCTTGCGCAAGATCAAAGCCCAGAGGTGCTTGGTTGGTCGATACCTCAGTGGGGAGCTTGACCTGGCCGACGACAACGATTCCGACGATGACAGTGGCGGTGAGGAGGCCGGGGACGAGGAGAAGAAATACCAGAAGCCCAAGACGGTGCTCACGGCCTCTCAGAGGAAGTTGCGCGATTCCATGAAGCCTTCCATAGAACGTGCTCTACAAGCTGCACAAGCACAAGATGACGAAGAACAGGAGAGGCTCATGGCAGAAGCGCTGGAGTGCAACAAGATGTTGTTTGCCAGCGGGGGCCCGGGGAGCGGCAAGACCTTCGTCTTGCACGAGCAGATTCGGCGCTGGCACGCCAAGGGGG